CCCCACCCACACCCACACCCCACCCACACCCCACACCCCACCCAGATTATGTTTTATCACACAACTTTTATTGATCTGAAGAAGAACATCATCGGCACAAATATCGACATTACCAATGTAAATATAGGCGTCACCGACGCAAACATCGACGTCACCGATGTCACTGATCCAAGCAAAGACGTTACCAATACGGACAGAAGTGAATTTCGGTTTCTAGACACTATCCTTTCAGTCTAGAGAACAAACAAAAAATAAAATGTATAGAATGAAGGTCCATAGAGAAATCTAGGATGTACGATCAAAAAAGCATAAACGCAGAAAAAGCGAAAAAGATTTTCCGTTTTCTATGAAAAAAGCCTATTTTTCAAGCAAAACATGACGGGAATCCTCAAAAAAACGATGTGCCAAATGAAAAAGCATATTGTTTCTAAATGATCAGATTTCTGGCTATCTTTCCATGCATTTATCTCTATTACGAATTTTTTGGGTGGAGGGCTTAATGTTGTTTCTCATTTTAATTTATTCCATTAAATTGGAAAGATATTGTTTTACGATTCTAATATAGAGTTCAACAGATTGAATTTTCAACTTTTTTTATTTATTAAAAATTGAAATTCTCAGAAAAAAGCTTCTGTTTCTGTATTCGTATTCTGTTAACGTCTTAGTTTTTTTGTATGTCGTAGAGCTGGGTTTTTTCACTAATACTTTTAATGTTTCCAAAATGGTTTTTCTTACATATTCTTGATGATTTTTGATCCGACTGACATGACAAGTTTTAACGTCTTATCATTTTCAGAGAATACGCTTTGTAATTAGTTTGTAGAAGTGAAAGAAAGATCAATGATGTGACAGACAGACGTCAAAAAAAGGATTTGTTGGCTGATTAAAAAAAAAGTCATTTTCTTCATCCGTTGATTGTCTGATTAACATAGAAATTTCATTCAAATGTCTTTTTTCTTTTTATGTAGCATCTGAAAGAATAAAAACCCATTTTAAAATGATCGACTATGGACGAGGAATAGTTGGTTTTATCGTAACTTTAATTTCTCTTATTCATGGTTCAGCTGCATGGGTCATCTCGTTTATGGTTGTCGCTATTATCATCCGTTATCAATATAATAATCGTTTGAAACGAGAAGAGAAGATAACTCTTTTACTTTCTACTAATATTTATTTACTTATTTTTCTCTATATAACAGCACTAATTTCATGCAATATTCAAACAATAGTCGGTGATATCCATGGAAATAATTTTGATTCATCATGGTGTGTATTCGTTGGGTATTATATTGTTGCAACGTGTTGTGCTTTGTATCATGCCTTTGTTACTCAGGTAAATATTGAAATCTCATTAGGATTAATCAACAAATATTGATCAGAGAGTGGATTTGAGAATATTCTGTTTTAATATCTTGTATTCGTTTTATTGCAGTGAACTTCTAATAGAACATCAATTCTTGATATACACATTTATATTTGTGAGAAATGAATACTAAAACATCAAAACTGATTGATATAGATTTTGATATATCGCTTTTTAACCGCATCAAATGTTAATACTTCTTATCATATTCTAAATTTTAGGCTTTATTTCGTCTTGGTCGCATTGTTTATTCAAACTATAGATGGCTCCAACATTTCTGGTTCTATATCATTGTCACCGGTATTCAAGTAGTAGGAGCCTTTGCTCTTCTATCCCCTGTTCTCATTTGGCATGATGTAATCTATCTATCTAACGATCATTATTGTTGTGTTTCATTCAAAATAATTCTCGGTGTTCTTTGGGCTGTATTTGCTTGTTATGGTCTTCCTCTTATTTATTTATCTCTCATATATATTCGTATCACATTATTTATTCGTCAACAATCCAATACCGTAGCATTGGCAATAAAACGAAGACAACAACGAGATTTACTCGCTATTCAACGAATTCTCATTAATGTTGGTCTATTGATAGCAATAGGATTTCCGGCTATGGTTCTCTTAGTTATGCTTTTCATTACTGGTGAAGAACATCCATTACTTTATCGTATCTTATGGATTGGAGCCGAAGTATCTATGGCAGTATTGAGTATAGCAATGGTTTTGACGACACCTCAACTTAAAAATATTGTTATGAAAAGACAGCGACAAAACCGGGTAACTACCATTGAAGGTCCTGTTCGAATGGGATCCATGTCAACTGCTCACTGACTTCATAATTTTGTATGAGCACAAGAGTGAATATCCTATTTGATTCATAAAAGAATTTATTTCATTTCTAGTCTACCAGTAGATCGTTCAAGAAAGCACACAACTCTTAATTCCCTCGACTGTAGGGGAGTCTATATGAAATAAAATAACTTTGTAGTCTTACGTGTATACCTATGTAATCACCAGGCGCAGAATACACGCACGCAGCCGCGGTCCCGTTTTAAATTGCATTCGGACGCGAGTAAAATCAATTTTTACCGCGTTTAGACGCGACTTTATAGGGAACCGCATGCAAACGCGTTTAATAAAATACGATTCGAACGCATCCAAACGCGGTTATAGATAAAATGCGTCTAAACGCGTCAGTTGAAATTCTGAACCGCAGCTCGACTCGTTTTTATGGAACCGCACTTCCACGCGCTTGATAAAAACTATTCGAACGCATCTGAATGCGGCTTTATATGAAACAACGTTCGTACACGATTATTAAAAAACGTTTTAAAGGAAGATGTACAATTTAACTATCTTTACTATAGTTGAATTTGACAAGAATAGGAAGAAATTATTAGTATGAAGATATAGCTATTTTATGTATAAGAGATAGAAATTTTATCATTATATATTGAAGTGTTGGGAAATGACGTCTTAGTTTTAATTATCTCCAGAGTTAAAAATTGTTCATTACTTTAATATAATTTTTAGCCGATTAAATTTCCATAATCACACTTTTTCTTTCAAAACTCCAAGTGTCAGAAACAGATATTTTTCATATGAAGCAACTTAGTGTTAAAACAATAATAGGATACACACTAAAGTCCATTACAAATCCTCCTTATTACTTTATATATTGGATATACGAATATGGTTGCACTTTCTCATCATCAATTATTAACTAATTAACTAATTATCATTTTCAAGTATCATGTTAATATTTAATATTCGAATATAAAGTGTTACTGAATAAAAATATATGCTGCACCATAATTTCTAATAATTTCAATTGTATCCCATCATCTGAGTCATTTTATATAATGAAAGTTGATTAACAAAAAGAGAAATTATATCTTATCATATCAAGGTGTGTATTTTATCTTTCATATCGGAAACAAAGAACAAAAAACATGCTTGAATATTATATGCACCAGAAAAATTTTAACCAACCACCACCTGTAAAAATCGATCTAATTTCAAAAATATAAAGTGTTGAATAAAGTTTTTTTCGTTATTTTTACGCTAGTCGCGGTAATCACTCTTATTCACATTATTATATCTTCTGTACATTTGTTGCATTTTTTTTTATAGAAAAAGAATACGTCGATAAAGATACTAATCTATTGATAAAAATAATTGATCTCCTCATATAAGTTTTTACTCAGCATAAGCATAGTTTTTTTTCTTCGATCATAAAGCCACTTTGTTCAAGTATTTTTGAAATATTTAATTCAAATTTTGTATTTCTGTTTGTAAAATAATTGAAAGTTCTTTTCAATACTGGAATTAAATAGTGAAAGAGAAAGATGAAAAAAGTACATAATCTTTAGTAACATATAATAAATAAAGAATAAATTTTAAAACATCAATAAATAATTTTAAATGTAAACCATATATTTTTACAGAAAAAATACGAACGAAAATTATATTTGAAAGAAAAAGTGTCCAGAAATAGAATAAAAACTAATATACAATTCTTTTAAAAATTTATTTTCACACAAGAATAAAAATATTAATTAGAATACTATTTATACAGAAAGTATTCCATTAATGCGTGCATTTGAACATTAGATAAGGATTCAGGATTCATATACACTTTCTATTTCATTCGATAGCGATTGTGGTCACATGTGACTAACGGTACGTATACATGCTTCTTAATCGCTAGTTCACTTGTTCTAATCTCATTTCTATCGTTTTAGATATATCAACATTTCAACATTCCGTTTGTCTATAGTGAGTGAGGTAAAGACCATCGTTAGAGGATATCGATGACGACTCAGATCAAACCTGAGATGGATTGTAATACTTTTTCAAATTTTAACTATCAAATGGAACGCGTCTAGGCGCGATTGTTGTTTGGATTGCGTCTAACCGTAATTTATTCCAGCCGCGTGTAGCTACGATCTGATTTTGAAACGCGGCTCCAGTGAAACATTTGGTGCGTCTAAGCGTGGTGTCGTCAGTCGCGCCCAAACGCGATTTGATTTCAACCGCGTGTAGACGCACCATATGTTTCACTGGAGACGCAGTTTTTGCGTTTCTTTGCTGGGATTTACACGCAATTGAAACGTGATTCAACCGCGTTTTTACACAAAAAATATATACATGGGCAGAGGAGACTGCTTGAACTTTCATCATCTCTACCACCAGATTTTCACACGTTTGTTGGATTAGTCGCTAAAAGTCGGCATCATGGTATAATAGTACGTCGTCAGGAAAGACAAAGTCCGAAGATGCACTAGCCATCGCATTTTATTTAAATAATTTAGATCTGCAATGAAAAGATTGATCAATGACCAATAGCCATGTCCTACAAGTATTTTTTTCAAATTTAGAAATTACAAATATTAAGGGTCAGAAAAGAAAATTTGGTTTGTCTATATTAACATATCCTTATTGGTCTCAAAGTTCAAGATCATATGGGGAAGATAAGTTGTGTTCTTTCGTATTTTACTGTAACGAATATTTGTTTGTGGTTCTTGCATATCTAATCATTTTAACTTCTAATTATGGCAAACGAAAAATACAATTATGTACCATACATTTTCCCTTATGAGCTACTTATTTTTCGAAACCTAATTCAGTGAATAAAGGCTATTAGATGGTGGAAAGTCCGGATAAACAAAACATTTAAAAATCATACCTATTATTTTGTCGTAAACTTTGCTTCTGAAAACAAATGATTCTTTCACAATTAGAAAAAATGCTAAAAATACAAGTGAATAAAGAAATATGAGTTCTAATCATTGCTTCATATTTCGCTTTTTCGTGGTTGAAATATCTGAAGAAAGAACAGTTGAGACATGTCGTTTCCGAATTAACGTGATAGACGAAGCAGCGATGGCAGCAGGGGTAGTATGAGAAGAACTAAATGGTAAGTTATCATCGATTTGATCTATCTGATCATTACCATCTCCATTTATTACCATTGAACATTTTTTTTTATCATCGTACATTTAGGTGATAAAAGATGAAAAGGATTTGGTTAACATATTTCTTTCCTTTTGGTCAATCATAACCCAAAAAGCATCTATAGTTAATCATGCGGTATACATATATAAGAATAGCATGTATACATTCGTTGAAATCTATTTTAAATTTTATTGCTTACCTGATACGTGTTGCAAAGTAATCGTAATGTTGCTTGAGCACCACAGTTGCATCGGATAGCAGCCTTGTTAGGAGTGACTGTCATATGAATATCATAGCCTATACCTTCAATAAGTTTCAGACTATGATCAGCAAATTCGTTCTTTTTCTTAATAATACATTCATCTATTGATTTACTAATTGATTGTTTATGCTCACTAGGTGTTTTAACTACACTATTGGTTAGTGAATCAGATTGAGATTGTGTAAATATTGAAGCTGTAGAAATGGAGCGGGTGTGGGTGTGTGTATGTGAGTGTGGGCAGGTGTAGGTATGGGTGTGAGCTCTGAACAGAGAATAGATACCCACAGCCACACCCTCTGAACAGAGAATTGATACCCACACCCACACCCACCCACACACCCAACACCCACACCCACCCCACCTACACCCACACCCACACCCGCACCCACCCACACCCACACCCACCCACACCTTTAACTGGTTTCGAATGCCGCTCATTCTTCAATACGACAGGATATCCTCTACCAATTCTGCTCATACTAGGACAATTAGGAAAAGCACTATGATAACACGATGGTTTATTGGCGGTATAATCAGTTGCATTACCGTAGCATTCGTCTTCCGGATGAGATCGTTGTGGTACCATCGAAAGCAAATGTATCGGAATATGATGAGGCTATGGATGCAATTTTGAAAGAGAAATATATAACGAGTGTAATGTAAAAAGACGTAAACTATTTAAAAACGATTTTCTTAGACGATTATTTATACTTTGTAAAAACATAAGAAAGAGTCATCCATAGTTTAAGCAATGAAGATCGAAATACTAACTATGCTATTGGAGACGATTTCATTTTTTCTTTTCTTTTCAACTAGTAGGTGATTTGGGTGTGAGCGTGGGTGGGATGTGACTGTGAATGTGAGTATGAGTGAATTTTCTATTTAGTGACACCCACACGAACACCCACACGAACACCCACACCCACACCCATACCCACACACCCACACCGCACACCCATACCCACACCCACACCCAAACATAACGAACTCAATCTCCGAAGGTTATGATGTGTTCTATACTTTACAGAAAAGCTGTAAATTTATTTATGATCAAAGGATAAAAGTTTATTAATTGTTTTGTAGTACTGATGTTACATCGCTATGGTTGGTTCTTTTAGTCATTTGAATAGTCTCAATTGTTGCTGTTGTAGGACCTGTTTGATTCATTGGTGTCTGGCCAATGTGTATACGATTACGTAGATGAATAAAAGTATTGAGAAATTGTTTTCGTAATTGTGGTGTTACATATATAGTTGAAATTCCAATCGATCCTAAACACACTGCTGTAAAAATGCCAATTATTCCATATGTTAATGGATATAAGTCTTGAGCCATAACTCCATATATCATTAAACCGATTGTTGGAAAACGTAATAAAACTAATATGAATACTAACAATATAATGCGTTTAATAATTACTAAATCTCTTTCATTTCGATGTCGCCGGTTAACTGCGGCTACAACCAATGATGTTTGACTTTTTTGACGCATGAATATAGTTATCCATCCATATGATATTCCAATACATAGTACAGGAATAATATATAAAAACATAATATGATATATTTCAGCAGCAATATTTGTATAAGGAATAAGACAATATCGTTCGGTT